CAAACATCTACCTTCCCCCGCCCCCTGGGTCTCAGCCCAGCACCTCCCCAAAGGCCCCCTCACCTCTCCCAGGCAGCCCCAGGGGCTGGGAATAGCCACCGGGCCCCTGCTCCCACCTCCCAAAAGGTGCCCTTGGGCTGATGCATGGGCCCTGGAACCCTCCGAGCCCCCACACCCTCAGCCTCTGCTTGGTACCAAGGGGCAGGGGCTGGGAACCCCCAGGCATCTCCTGCAGGCCCTGCACTGCAGCTCCATGCCTCTCTCCCAAGGCATTTATCCAACTCCAGCCCCAGCATTTCCACTGCTCCACATTGTTTTGGGCCCGACTCGTGCCAAAGTCCTTATTCCACACCCTGGGCCTTTATGTCTCCCCGGTGACCTCACAACCCGTGATTCAACCCCAGCCCCACAACCCTTACTAAATTAACGTCAGATAAAAAAAACGAAACCAAACAAATTAAGTTTAATAAAACAAACAGAACAATGAAATAATGCAATACAGAAAAAATTATTGAGTAAAAGCAAAATCAAATAATAAGAAAGCAAACAACCAGCTTTATTCCCAGTATTCTCAACGTTACTTTAAATCCAGAAACCGTGAAACGGCTACTGCCCAGTGACAGCAGCCGGACCCCCTTCGCCACTCCCTGCCCCGCACCAGCCTCTGGCCGCCCGAGCCGGGCAGGGCGCGGCGCAAACAACTGGACACCGCCGGCCCCCGGCGCAGGCAGACGCGGGAGTCGCGTCCGTGCTCACCAGCGCTCCTCGGATCGGCAGCCGCGGGGGGCCCGTCCCGGCGCAGCAGCGCTCCCCAGAACGCGCATCCGCAGCTCCCGTCGCCTCCAGCCCCGCCGCCGAACTGACGCCGCCGCCAGCCCGACGCACGCTACTTATACCTCAGCGCCGGCCCCGCCAGCCAATCACAACCCGAGGCAGCGCCGGCCCCACCAATCCGAGCCCGCCCATTCCCGCTGCGCTCGGCTCGCGACCACCCCGCGCTCCCCTCACGTGCCGCTCCTGCCGCCGCCATTGCAGGGGCCGGGTCCGCCCGCTCCCCGCCGTCAGCCCGTTTCCCTGGGAGAAATCCCGGCCGGCGCCTTAACGGGAAGTTCCCGCCCGCCCTTCCCGGCCCCAGCGCCTGCCGAGGCTGCGGCAGCAGGGATGATAGGGCTCCGCCGGCTCCCAAAGCGGCGGCGGGAGCGGCGCCTCAGGCGCACGGGGGAGCGGGGCCAGGCTGAGGAGTCGGGCCGCGACTGAGCGGGCTGAAATGGCAGGAACCGCGCCCGGTTTGAAAGGGCGGCTGTGATTGGACAGGGCGGGGAAAGGCGGGCCGGGATTGGCGGGGCTCGGGAGCTGCGCGGCCGCGGCCCGTGGCAGCGTGGGGCGGAGCCCGCGCTGCTCGAAGGGCCCGCGGGCGCCCCGGGTCCCGCTCGGAGACCCCCTGGCCCCTTCTCCGGCCCTTGCTCGTGCCCGGCTCCCGGCGAAAAGGGCCCCGCAGAGCCCGTACTGCAGCCGCCCGTCGGCACTCGCGGCAGGGGAGGGGCGCAGCCCGGCAATGGTTCCGGGCGGCAAAGGCGGACTCTGCGATAGCAGCTCGGATCGGGGAGCGGCGGCGACGCGGCGCGGAGGCGGCTCGGTGGTGGGGAATGGGGAGGGCGCGCAGAGCCCGCTGCGGGCTCTCGACGCCTCTTCCCCCGCAGCGTTTCCCGCTTCTGCGGGGACTTGTCCTGCCCCGACTGGCCGAGATCAGCACCCTGGCCAAAATAGTGAAGTACCCGCGTCCCCCTGCCCGCCCTCCGCCTGTTGCGGGCCCGCTCTGCTCGCCCTCCTTCTCCCCCACGGTCGTCCGATTTTATAGAGGAGAAAATAATATTGACTTTCACATTCAGAGATCAGCTTTTTGCATCACAAGTATTTCGATATGGTACAACTTACTTTTAACTGCTTTGTACAGCATAATTTTTTTAATAAAACCCCTACCTACTAACAACTAGAAAATAAGAATCCCCTTTATTTTATACTATATTTTAAAACTTCTATATTTCTATTTTTTATTTTTACAAGTTTTTGTCTATTATATCACAATATATTGATGTACTCTATTTAGATACATAATATTTATGACATATAATGTGCTATAAGAAGACATATACAGTAAAATATACATTATGAACTATATTGATTCCTATTATTTTGTTATATTTATATACCCACATGTATTAATTATACATCTCTTGATGGATATTTTGTTTATATTTATAATCTATATTTATATGTATTTATATAAAGATATAAAATACTCTATAGCAAACAATATTATATCTAATAGTAATAGATAACATTATTCATGTTACATGTTTTATTTATATATTTTCTGTTTATATTTAAAATTTAAGTTTTTGTTCCCATTTTCATATTTATGCATTTGTTTTGTTTCATTAGATCTATAGTTAAAACTTTGCAGTAAAAATCCAATTCCTAATAATAAAATGCCAAAACAAACAGCATCGAATTCCCAACAATACCGTCCAAAAAATTCAGAAAGGCTCCACCAGCCAACCAACTACCAGCAAAAAAACCCGCACTACACTCCTTTCACTAGCAGTTCTTATCACATCACAAAAATGAAACAAACATTTTAAAAAAGACCTATAGAAACCCACAGAGCAGATGACAAAAACCACTAAAACAAAACAAACAAACAAAAAAAAGAAACGCCAACTAACTTACTATACTCCAAACAACACAACAGACCCCGAACGTTTCTTAAAAAAAAAAAAAAAACCAACCAAAACTCTACCACGACACTAACTCATAAAGAGAACCCAATACTCTATAAAATGAATTAAAAAACCCCACCAAATAATTACCGATGTAACAATATCGGAACCACGAAGAAAGAAAAGATTCACCACCGAAATAAAATAACTACCTAAAAAGATCCACCATAGAAATACCCACGTTCCCAAAAGTAAAACTAATAAAAAACAACAACCAAATACATCAAAATACCAAAAAAACCAAACACATCAACAACAACAAAATAATTATTCCTTACTCAATAAACCCATAGTGCCTCAAACCATCAAAACACAAATACCACTGAGAAATAAGCAGGTCGCCAAAAGAGAAATGTAACCATAAACAATAACTCCCAAATTCCCTGCAACAATAAAACACACACGGCAATCAAATAAGCCAAATGAATAAAACCCCTATAATATAATAAACAAGAATACAATCATCAATATAAAAAAAAAAAAAACCTAACTAATTAAGTACAGGACACTACCTCAAGCCACCAAAACAAACACTACGCACTCACGCCAATAAAAGCCTCCACAACCGAATTAAAAACCTACCCTCTACTTCATGCTACGACCCAGAAAAACCATTGTAAGCCTTTAAAAACACATCCTTTAAAAACATAAGAAACGATCAAAAAGAAATCCAACAACAACACTCAAGCCAAAAAAACCCTCGTCATCAGCGCCTGAAGCGAGAACCGTAACAACCAAAAAGTGCCCCACGGCCCTTCTCCTACACCAACTCCGGACAACAGAAAACGATCCAATAAGTTCCCCAGAACCACCTCACAGCCACCCCAGGCAGGAAGGCTGGAAAATGAGAAGCCGCGCTCCCGGCAGGAAAGCGGCTCCTCGGGCAGGCACAGGCGGCGCCGCGCCGGGAGACCCCCGCCCGCTCCCCCCGGCCCGGCGGGGCCGGCACCGGGCCCGGGGGCCCCGGCGGCGCCCGAGCCCCGCGCCCGGAGCGGACGGAGCGGCCGGCACCGGCGCAGCGCCCGCGCCGCCTGCCGGCCCGGCCAAAGCTCCCCTCGGCTCCGCACGGCTCGCACCGGCGCGGCTCCGGCAGTCCCGCGGCAGCCCCGCCGTGCCAAACTCCCCTCCCGCCTCGGCCATCCCCAGCCACTGCCAGCGGGGCTCCCGCGCCGGACCCTTCGCTGCCGGGCCAGGGGCAGAAGCGCCCCAAATGCAGCGGCGCAGCCCCATGCCCACCCTGCCAGCGCTGCCACAGCTGCGCCTCCCTTCCTTTGAAGCCCCGAAACTGACGCCACGCTCGGGCGCTCACCCCACTGCAACAAGGGCAAAGAAATGTGGGCTCCCCTTCCATCGCATCCCCTAGAAATAGAAAAGAAGGGGCTTGCCTCAAATGATGGCAAAAGGCAGAATTTTACCTCAATCCAAACCCCTTAAAAGGAGGGACAACAGGGCAGCCCCCTCATTTCAACTTCAGGAGGACGAAATTCAAAAGGGAAAGGAGAAAAGTCCCCACTACAAAGGCGCACCGGCTCACCTATTTGGCCGCTGCTTCTCGGCACAAAGGTTTGTCCCTCGGCTCCTCCTTCGAGCAATGCTCCACGTCCCCAGGTGCGTATCCAGGTGATCCCCCGGACCCTGTCCGAAGCGCTCACCGTCCTTCCATGAAACAGCCCCGGGAGCCCCCCATAAACTCCTCTTCTCCAGCAGCTCTGTGCAAAAGCCAGCGGCGGCAAACCCTCGCCCTAAAACAACCTCCCCCCGGCAGGAGCCGCCCCCTCCCTCCTCATCCTCACAGCTCGCACCTGGGGCTGCTCTGAGCCCTCCTCATCCTCACAGCTCACACCTGCGGCTGTTCTGAGCCCTCCGCATCCTCACAGCTCACACCTGTCACAGTTGCAACTCTCCAACAGCGGCTCTCCTTCTCCAGCACACACCCACTTCTCACAGACACAGATCCAACAAAAACCTGCTACGGGTGTTGGCTTTTCTTAATCCCTCTGGTTACACGATTAAAATACATACACATACCATACATCCTGTTCTAGTTTCAGTCACAAGCCCAGCCTCAGCATCCATGTCAGAGGCGTAAAGGGATGTCGCCGCAAGAACCCCACAGTCCCAGTGCCAGCCCTTCGGTTCCTATGGTGTGTGCAGTCCCTTTGCCAGCCCAGCAGTGATTACAGCACCCGCCCTACAAATCCCCTTTCCCAGCCCCAGTGATTTCAGCTCTTGAACCACAAGCTTTATTTCACTGCCAGCTCTCTTCTTCCAGCTCCTGCTCTGCGTTTCTCCAGCATCACAGGGGTGATCTTGGCTTCGGCTCCAGCTCTGCAGCACTTCAGCTCATGCCCCAGGGTCTCTAAGCCCACCCCACCATCAATATCCCACCCCGCAGTGATTTCAACTCCCGCCCAGCAATGCCCAGTTGAACCCTGAGGTAATGGGCCATTCCAGCTACGTACACTCTGCAACAAAGAGGAACAATGTCAAATAGTTAATGAACTGAAGATAAAGATTGTGCCACTAAAACTTGAAGGAAAAAGATATTTTGTGTGGTGTGTGTGTGCTGGGAGGGGGTGTTACAGACTGAAAAAGAGATACCAGGTACTTTTTTCCATTTCCCTTGACTGTATTCAGATAACTGAAAAAAAAAAGAAGGAAGAGTACTCTGTATTTCAGTCAAATATCAAAAACCTAATTCTAATCTCTATCTGTATTCTCATGTCCCTATGTAACATGAAGGAGACCCCAAATTCTCCAAAGGCTCTGACCCTGGACCAATCTTAAACAGAGACATGCTGTCTAGCTGGCCCTTATCCTTCAGTACTCCTCTCATGACAGAGGCATGAACACTTCCAACCTGAAGAAAAGGACAATAAGAGCAAGCTAAACAATTCTACAGCCACATTAACTAGGAACAATATGCTCCTGAGATCTCAGAGAGCTGCTCAGCTTGCAAACCTACAAAAGGAAAGTCTGCCATCCTTCAGAACATGGATCCAGGGAGCTTAATCTAAATGAGCACTATCATACCCATCTGCTGCTAATCATAAATACAGTACTTTTTTTTCCCAGAGGTAACAATTTTTGGGAATCATGGTCTTTCCTGCAAAACAGTTATTAATAAACTGACAATCATAATTTTAAGAGTAGCGATGTGATATTCAGTTTAATAATTGCATCCTGCTTTCTGAAATTGTATTTTAATTACATATAGAAAGATTACTAATTTTTGGCTTCAGCCTGTGCACTAACAGTAAATACCAACAACTGCCATATACAAACTGCAAATTGGCTATGAGTTAGCAATTCCTATTTTTATTTCAGTTTTGTAATGAAAAGAGGACATTGAAGTGTCCTTCAGTCATTTCTCTGTATAACTTCCTTTTCACTGAAATTATAGATTTCTTCTAGTTCTATCTATTCAATCAGTTGAATTCAGGAGCAAAATGCAACACGGGAAATGAAAATTACTAGGACAGTTGTTAATCAACATGAATCTTAACTGTATTACAATATTTGAATTTCCTGACTCAAACCAGTTTTTATCTTTCTTTTTTTCCTCAGGTTTCCCTGAAACTGTCCTTCGCATCTTGCAAAACTGGAATATTCCCTATTCCCTACTGTCAAGTTCATCGATCCATTTTGGCAATTTTGATTTGGGTGTCCCAGATGATTTTATGATTTTTATATAATTTTTTTTTCCACTGAGAGAAACCGTGATATGCAAACCTCATATAACTGTTTAGTGCTGTATTACCACAAATTCACTTTCAGTGCCTGACAGGTAAATGATCCTACGAATTAGCACCCTCATTTATTTTAAATGCAAATCCATCTGCATTGTAGATTTGTCCTGCAGACACTATCAATCCATTTACCAAGTGACAGAATTTTGTTATTCAGTAAAATGTAGCTGCTTCCCAGATAAAAAAAAAACTATTTATTGACAACGGAAACAGTCTTAGAATTATCCTCAAAATTTGTCATAATCTTCCAACGGATTTGAAATCCTCCTTAGTTTCAGTTTGATGCTCTTACAAGACAAACTTTCAAAGATGTTAAAAAAAACCCCACCCAAGAGTGAAATCATACCTTGGTGCTTGTGCCTTGGGATGGGGCTTGGGAGCCCTTTGCATTGGAGGAAGGCAGCTTCTCAGCTGGTTTGGAGGAGATCAGACTCGCTGCGGGAGGCTGACTGCGCAGAACGGAGCACAGGCAAAGCTGCACAGTCTCCTTCAGAGCTTTCAGCTGGGACTCCTGGGGAAATAAGAAACCATCACTTCTCTGTGATGTGCTGTGATGAACACAAGGGCTTACATTCTCCATCTGTATTAAACCAAACACTTAGGAGTAGCTGCTGCTTTTTCTTATTGATGGAAGGAATTAAGACTGTCTAAAGCAGTATTTTTATGTGATTAGGTTACAGTACATTAGACACCAAACTGCCTAGGAAGTCACTGCACTCTCTTCCCATCCCTTCAAGCAGTTTTATCCACATTGATTATTGCAAATAGTACTTAAATATATTTTTTCTGAAAAGAAAAATACTATTTACAAAATATCATACGGTGTCCAGCCTTTTATGTATAATATCTACAGAGAAGTCATAAGTATTGCAAGACACAGACTTTGCATGGAGTTTTGTCTATAACATTCCAAATAATTGGTGTTTTTCTACATTATACATAGATTATAATCCAATTAAGATGGCTTCCCTCATGGGCATATTATACTTTTGCACTATATAGTAAAAAAACCATAGGTCTTTTTAACAGTTAAAAATATGTTTGTCCAGACCCACTACTGTCCATTAAGCCAAAATAAAACTTCTAAGTGGTGAAGTGCTTGCGACTCTTGTTAGAACATTTGTGCTTTACTCCCAGAAAGATAGACAGATATATTGATGGAAACAGAAGTCTGTAATTGAAATAAGCTGAGAAAGCAAGAACAAGGAGATAACTACAGCAGTGAGGAAATCATATTTTAAATCTTTATTTCATCAAAGCAAGACATGTATCAAATGTTAGCCATTGAGGTCAAATCTTACACTCACTCCAGGGGGAGTCAGCAGCATTTGGCATTAAAAAAACATTTAATTTCTAGTTTTCTTCTTTTTATTAAAAATACACCTGTAAATACAGAATGCGTTCACATTTCAATCATCAAAGATTTTTTTAAAGGTATATAAATCAAAGGATACCATGGCAAAAGCTGGTGGAAAACATATGTAAACATGGTGGAAAATGTGTATATAACATTACACATTACATATAATGTATGTGAAATATTGCATATAAAATAAAAATATTTCATAGTCATATTAATCCTAAGCAATGCCATACAGCATGTTTTAGTTTATTTTCTTAGCAAATATTTTTGAGAAAATTACAAATATTTTGTTTTAACTCAGATAAACTTCCCCTGAACTGAAAACAGGGAATTTATCTCTTAACTGGAAAAAACTAAATGTTTCTTTAAAAAACAAACAATGCCAGTTAGTAGAAGTGTATTTCCACAGGAGGACAAAAGACAACCATAGAAAGATCATTAAAGCAGAGCACAATAGGAAAAATTAGAGATATGGGAGATGGAACATGTTATGACCTGCCCTTTAAGGTAAGTCATTAACTTAGGTTCTTGTTAATAGATCCCTTGGGGCAGATTAGAGTGAAAACCACAGAATTACCTGTGTTTTACATATATGTAAATGTTTTATTGTAGAGCAATTTGGTTGCAGATGAAAGCAAATATGTAACTGTTTTGGTTATTACCTACAGTAACAAATCAATATAAAAGCATAAAAATAACACTTAAGAAAATGAGGAAGAAGTTCAGGGAAGGGAGAAAAAGAAGGGGAAGGGGAAGGGAAAAAGGGAAAAAGGGAAAAAGGGAAAAAGGGAAAAAGGGAAAAAGGGAAAAAGGGAAAAAGGGAAAAAGGGAAAAAGGGAGGAACCATAAAAGTAAAAAGATATCACCATCCCTGGATCCAGTTATGAGACTTAGTCGTTGCAATTTTGATGTCCATCGGAAAAAGTACTTCTTTTCAATGTAACATCTCTTGAATTCTACCTTTTCAAGTTAGTGACTGCACAGACAGCATAAATCACCATTTGTTATGGTTAAATGGGCAGAGGTAGCAGACTGGCTAATTTTGCATGATGATATGGACTCAGTCAATCTAGTCTGATATAACCCTAGTGCTTCCTGCAGATGGCACCAATCTGAAATTACTCTCCTCTCATCCAGAAATTTCTCTGGATAATTTCTCATCTCTTAATCCTGCTATCCAGTGCTTATTCTTTCTTGACAGCAGCCATTCCAATTTTGCCATTTCAAAGGTAAAAGAAGAACAAGTAAATTTGTTTCCATCCTGTGAATAGCATAATTCAGTATTGACTTTGCTGATAGGAGATCTATAAATGAACACCAGGAAAGCACAGGTGAAGGAAACACTATTGGAACCAGGGACGTAATTTGACAAAGTTTGCTATAACCTTGCCTAGATGTGATTGTGATCAAAATAGGCTGCTTACCGGCCAAAATGCTGCCCACATGTGATGCATTCTTCCTATGTCCCTGATCTATTTCAGTCCTATCACATGGCTAGATCCACAGAATCATCAAGACTGGAAGAGACCTTTAAGACCATCTGGCAACACAGCACCATTTTAATCACCCCTAAACCCAAGTGCCACATCCAGATGCCTCTTCAACACTTCTACAGGTGGTACCTCCACAACCTCCCTTGGCAGCTTATTCCAATGCCTAACCACTTCTGCAGTGAAAATAAAATTTCTGATGTCTAATCTGTATCTCCCCTGGTACAACTTAAAGTAATTTCCTCTCATCCTTCCACTTGAGACATGGCAGAAAAAAACCAACCCCTGCCTCATGATGGTTTCCTTTTAGACAGCTGAAGAGAACAATGAGCATGAGCCTCCTCTTCTTCAGACCAAACAAGGCCAATTCCCCCAGATGCCCCCAGAAGACCTTCACCAGCGTCACTGCCCTTCTCTGAACTCACTCCAGCACTAAAATGCCATTTTTTAAGTGAGTGGCCCAAAACGGAACAGTATGTGAGGTGTGGCCTTACCAGTTCTGAGTACAGGGGGACAATCACTTTCCTAGTCCTACTGGTCACACTACTCTTGGTATCTGGGGCCTGGTAATTCAAAATTTGTAAACATTCTAAGGGTTCATGGTGGGAAATAGAAAACTGCTCTAGTGTAAATAAACTTATGACTGACACTAAGCCTACAGTCAGCACAAACTGTAGTTCAATAAATACCTAAATCTACTAAAATCAGTGCAAAAATTTTTTGAGCTTTTTTTTCTAATTTGACCATCATCTTCTTAAATAACTTTGCAGATGTACTTAACTTCATGTATCATAATTAGTTCCACTGATTTCAGTAGCATCTCTCTCAGGTACAATTCATATGTAACTTAGTATTCATCTAAGTAACTGCAAGGCTTACATTTGTTTTTGTCAAATTCCACCAAAACATCCACAGCCGATATAGGTAAACATGCTTACATTACATGACACTTCTTACTTTGTCAAGGGCTGCGTTTTCCAATTTGTCTTTTGCAACAGATAGTTTTTGCTCCAGATCTGTTAGCTGTTGTGCCTGTGGGGATCAAGAAAAAAAGCTGATGCAATCTCCAATGCATTTTTTCATGTGAGAGAGGAAAGAACAGAAATTTTGCAAGTAATACATATGGGCTGGGTCAGATTTGCTTTTCCTGAGGAAAAAAAACCATTATGGCCAAATGTGCTCCATTGATGTGAATGCAAGCTTATAATAATTCAATGTCAATAGCAAAATTATTTCCATACTATAAAATATTTAAGATTATGCCATAATATCCTTCTGGAAAATTCAAGGTATTCAAATGTCTTTTAATAATTTTGTTCGTTTGTCTGACTTCCGAGTGCAATTTGAAAATTATTTTGTAGTTTTAGGCATTGTGATGCCACCATTAAGCTAATTGGGCATAAACAGACAAATTAGAAAACACCCAAACATTCTTCTTGCATGCAGACACCTTATGAAATTATACTACCTACTACTATACAAGGAGGTAACTCCAGATTTTTTTTCTCCATGTCTTTTCCTGGAAATAGAGAAGGAAAATGCACAAGACTAGCTAACTCATAGCAGGAAAGCAATTTGGGAGACTTGTGTTGGAAGTCAGGATCAGGCTAGTAGCCTGCACCCTGAGTGGAAGGACTTCTGGCTCTGTATAATGTATATGTCATTCATGGAGCACAGGAGTTCAGCAGAAGCTTTTTAAGTGAGTGGCCCAAAACAAAGAGCATCAGAAGATGCTTTTAAATGTTCAGTAAATAAAGACAAGTATTTTCTCTCTCTTTCCCTAGGATATGTATGAACCCAGCCTGTTCACTTGAAGGAAATACATTCTCTGCAAGACTCTTCTGTTTCAGGAAAGCAGATTCCTGAAGTTGTCAGCCTTGTCATTAATAACACATTAGTATACAACCAAAAGGAATAAGGATTCTTTTGCTGTTGTACCTGCAAAAAACCCAGCCTAGCCATTGTTTTCCCTGTTTGAAAAGGGATCCATAGAGAAGGACACTGGACTAGCCACTTATCTTTTCTCTCGGAAATTCTGATTAGGTAAATATACATTTTGTGTATGCAAAATAATAGGATAAAATTCTCAATTTTCAGATAAAGAGCACCACATTTTTATTTCAATATTTGCAAGTGCATTTTCCCTCAACACCATTCCATGCCCTCAGGCTTCTGGAGTACAATCCCAGCCAGAGATTTTTTCTTGGCAGACCTTTCAAGATCTCCTGCACGCTGCTGATTGTAGCATAGCTTAATGGATAGCCACACTACGTAAATGTTGTTTAGTGTAAATCCTGTAAGGTTAACTTGTTTTCTGCTGGGGTAATGACAGTCCTTCCAGCACACGGCATAGATGAGGTGGTGAGCTTAGGCACGCCTGTAGTCCTCAGCAGACAGCTAATGTGATGTTCATTTGCATTAGGCATAGTCTGTTCTGCCAAATGAAATGTCAAGAGTCTGGAATTTTCAGTTCCCAACTCGTGTAAAGAACTGAGTAGTTGCATTTTAAAACAGGAATAGGCATTTATCTTCAGATTTATCACCAGAGTCACAGTTTCATTAGTCAAAACCAAACTTTCTTCAAAGTGCAAGTCAACTGTGACGTGGGAAAGTCTCTTGTGAATTGCTGTCCATAATTTACACTGCATCACATTCCTTACAGCTAACATCAGTCACTGCCACAACATACATATCAGACCATTGGTTTGACCCTTTAGTCTGGCAACAGAGAATTCACTACAGAAATAATCCTTCCACTTTATCAGTTTGCAAAATTTAAGTGGAGTTATTACTGATTTACTAGAGAAAAAAATTACTGATATAAGAAATTGCTAGAATTCAGTAACTTTTTGGATTTTTTCCTAAATATGGTATACAGTATCACTCACAATAAACACGGCCACAGAAAATGTCTGAAAGACTGGACATTGACTCTATATGACGCAGAGACACTTCTCATAGAACTAGACCAAGAAATTTCTCACATCATTAACATTTTTATACTGTTACTTCTTATTTTTCAGTACAGCTATACAAATTAATATGCTCTCAATTAAAGAGAATCAAGATTTGAAAAACTGCATCATTTCAATTGCCACTAAAAAGGAAATTACACAAAATAACATATGACAAACATGAGGCTAGGATGGCACCTCTGATAGCGTGCAGAATTAGACTCAGATGGAAATGGTGAGGACCATACAACTAGGCAACTTCTTATTTCAGCACCATCAGATTTACAGTCTAATTCAGTGAAAAACCAGAGCTACAGTTATGAATTAGAGGGTGTCTGGTTTCCTTCAATACATGCATTACGTAGGCATCTGAAAGTCTTGGCAGTTGACAGAAAGCAGGCAGTGGTGGTTAGAATTGACTACTGTCTTGTTCTGGTTTGAAAACAAAACCAATGAGAGACTCCAAATCAAAAATACAGTTTATTAGGAAAAGTGAGAAAAGGAAACAAAATACCTGCAATAATACAAAAGAAAAACCACTGACAGAGTCAGAATATAACCTGATACCCTTTTTGGTCAGGGTTGGAATGGCTGCAGTCCTCCTGGAAACCCAGTGGAAAAGCCTGAGTTTGGTGTCCCAAAACCCCAAATTATATCCAGTAAGGAATGCTTGGCTTCTCCCTCTGGGTGGAGCATCTCACAATGGGATGCTGTAACTGTTATCAGTCATGCAGTGACAGTCAATAGCCCATTATCAGCTGTTATGCGGCATGATGAAGTCAGCCTGTAGCTTATAGAACTTATTATCCCTAATAATGTGTTGCAAGAGCTCTGGGAAAAAAAAACAAAACAAAACAAAACAAAAAAAAACTCTACTATTTTACATTGCATTTATGTTTATAACTGGTATTTTATAATAGTTTTTTTAGTTCAGTCATGTCTTTCCTACACAGTTCTGATAAACTTTCCAAGGGAGGCTGCACAAGATCCAGATGCTGAAAAACCACGCTGGATGAACAAACACACCCCAGACTAAAGATCCTGTCTGAAAGCAGTATTCTCTCAGGGAAGTTGGTACAACAGGCCAAAAAGGAAACTGTTCCCAGTTTTTTCTTATCATCTCCTTCGAAGACTGAACTACAGAAATTGTATTTACCATTACAGGGCAATGTAAAAGTAGCAACAAAGATAAGAGCATTCTTTCTGAGCTAGACACATAAATACACAAATAAAGTTATAGGAAAGTGACACAGCTTTTTTTTTTTTTTTTTTTTTGGAAAGCTTTCTGCAAGAAAAATAGGAGCTTAATGGTACTTTGAACATAATGAAGAATGCTTTAAAATCTGTTAAATGGACTAGTTTTTCACATATGCAAAGTTAGCTGAATTCTGCAGCTGATAATTTTAATACGTGCAGAGGCAAATCATGGGGGAAGTGGATGTACATGAGGTGCTTTAGGATCAAGCCTAGTCACCAGAACTATACAAATAAAACTGTATTAGAAAGCCTGAAACTTGCATCTTCATATATGTGCCAGTACACAAAGTACTTCTGTAAAAATTTATCACAAATTTAAAATATGTAATCAATTATCACAAGCCCAGAAAGCAATCCTAATGTTTATACAAATTGTCTGCCAAAGCAGGTGGTTTTCTGCTTGTTTTTTTCCTTCCTTTGTTTTTCTTTTATTATTTCATCTCTTTCTCTGTATGTAATATGGAATCTCATTGCCTTCATTAGAGAAATAAATAATTTAAAATTCTGGAAAATCAGTTTACTGTGGCATGTAATTAACTTCGCTAATAGAGAAGGAAACACACACGGCATCAGTTTTACTTCAGAGGGAGGAATGGTACAGATATTTACCAAGTCCAGTCAATATGATGCAAAAATAATTTCACATAGTTTTGTATTTGACTCTATGTATTTGACTGCATCCCCAAGAACCACAAGAACTCTCTACCACCAGCACCGGACCTCAGAGCAGGACCAGACCTTTCCACAGGCTCACTGCTCTGACAAGACCACATCCAATGGGACTGCAACCACCATTTGGACTGCCACCACCACGCTGACCAACAGGGTATCAGGTCGTGTTCTGACTTTGTCCCTTTAAACCAGCGTTTCTGTACTATTGCCATTATTGTAATTTTCCTATTAAATTGTAGCCCTGACTTGAAATCTTTCACATAGCACTTGTGTGGGGTTCATTCCCTCCACTGTTTTACCTTCCACTCAGCACAAGCAGATACTTTAAAAGTTTTCCAGACTATACTAAATGGCTTCTACTCTGCTTAGTGTGTGTGTGTGTGTCTTCAGACATGAAACACACATGAACAAGCACACTGAACCTACCCTCCCCCCCATCTCATATGATTTAGGAGAACAGCATAAGGCTGCTGCTCCCTCTGCTTCACAGATCCAATTTTCTTGGACAGGAAAAGTATTTATGAATAAACCAGCAAAAAATATTTCTGGTTACATATAAAGGATATACCAATATTGGCAAAGCAGGCATTCAGTTTCATACGGAATTGCACACTGTCAAGAGATATTTCAATTATTTACAGATAAATATATAATACATAGTTCTCAGTACGTGGGGCTTTGGAATTCACAATTCATCAACATTCTCCATCTTTGAGTATTTTAAATTACATAAGATCATAGCTTACCTAGAAGGCAAGTAACTCTCCTTATTTTGCAATAAAAGCACTCAGAGGAGAACCCACACTACCATTACCTACATCTCAGCTGGTGGTTCTAGTGTTCATTCATAATCAAGAAGAGTGGAAAATGGATTTGTAGAAAGTTCTCAGGGCCTGACAGAAGGTCCACGCGGCATGCATCCATATGCAAACTTTGAGACAAGACATACTCATTTAGAAATGCCATGGAATAGGACAGATATTGTTGAGAGAGAAATGGAGCTAGAAACAAGTTTCAAAGGATGGCCTTGCAAATAAGACTAGATACTTTGGACAAACAGAACTATGAAAGATGTATTGTAGTGGGACCCACTTTAAGGCATCTACAACATGGCATGGCAAAAAGCTAGGCCAAGAAACACTTATAGTATATTTTCATTAGGAAATAGCTGGCTTCTGATTGTGATGGTGTGAATTACAAACATCTGCATTGTGTCACCCTTCTCATGAGACTGAAAATGGAATAAAAGTTTTTAAAACGCCTCTCAGTTGCCCCGTCTCTGGGTCAGGAAAAGGGTATTGTCCTATAAAGAACCATGTCTATTCAAAAAAAATCAAAGACTTGAAGGTGTAATTCATGTGGTCAAATGTAGACATAGCCTTCAGAATATAACCCGCCAAGGATTTGAAGTGGAGACTATGATGGAGAATGCCACATCCAGTCAGATGAAACCATTCCCATCCACAGGAGACACATTTCCTGCCTTTAGTACAGTTCCCCACATGTGTGCCTTAACTACTACACTGCCACAGGTCACTGAAGCAGTCTTAGGAGAGGGTGGCTTTCACTGCACGTGTGTCAGTGGCTTGCTGGACAGCCTTTCTGCCGTGTTCACTTGTTTATGTGCCCGTTTTCTTTTTCATCTCCTGTAAGCTTTTTTCAGGTGGGTAGTACTTGGCAGGAGTTCCCTTGCTAAGCATTAGTGGACACCCTACCATAACTCAGATCCTTTTTTGGGATCACTGTGTGTTAGCATAATGAAAACAACAGGAAGATAATAGTGCTGAGCAATCCTACTGCTTCAGCCAAAGAAAACAAACTTTCACAGCAAAGCAAGATTAGAATTTTTGATCTTTACCTCTGAAGAGCCTTGGACTAAACCTATGCATTAAAAAAACAAAAATAAAAACCAAAACCCAACCAAAAAAAAAAAAAAAAAAAACCAAAAAAACCCCAAGCAAAGAGCAAGCACGCAAAAAAGAAAAAAAAAAGCACAGAAATCACACTGTTGTTTCAATGGCCCACTATATTACTCTGTATTTCTCTGTATTTACGTATTCACAGCACTATAGATACTATAGAGAAACAGCAGAGAGAGTTAAACGCTTCCAGAAGACAATCTGGAACTCATAGTGACATGAATGACTTGTAAGTAATTCTAGGTCTAGTAACTTGGAAGATGACTACTTCATGTCCATCCTTTGTGTTGGGAATATATAAAGGGACTACTCCACTAACAGTCATCAGTCAGATGACCCACATCTCTCTCCTCTTCCTTTTAACAGGGATTAGCTTCTCCCTGTGTTAACAAGGACTAGACGCCCTTCAGCAATGTCTTTATGTTTTGTCCTGACCTCCTTTATTGTAAAAATTTTTATTATTTTGTAAAATGTGGTAGCTAGTGCAGACTATTGATTTGGATTGTTTTAGCAGCAGATGTTTCTTTTTTCTTAAGTCTTAAGACCTAAGGAACACTACATTGCTCAAGCTTATCATGAACACAGAGATTTACTTTAAATGTTAACAATAGTTGACTTTGCCATGGAGGAGTGCTAATTAAAGGAAAAACAAGAAGCAGCTGTAAAATATGATATCATTCAGTTAAAAAGATGACGTTACAGAAGGTATGGAATAGGACAACAGGTTTTATTCATCAGCAGTAACCTAGAATTTTGCTTTTTGCAAGCACAAAAATATATTCTATTTCTGAAAATCCATTATGGTATTAAGTCTGTCTTGATGTTTTGAGTTCTTTTCAGAACAAACTTCTTCCTGAGAACTGCAATAATAAAGGCAGCTACCATATTCCTACTTCGCTACAATGCTGTATAAATGCTAATATACTTTAGCTAACTATAGTGAAATAAAACTTACCTTAAAAATCAAATCCTTTCTCCCATAATGAAGCTCTTTCAGCTGGGCTTGGATCTTTTTTGACTGAAAATGAAGATAATCAAATCAGGTTTTGGATTTTTTAAATTTTAAATATAAAAAAAAATTATGTGAATTCTGAGAACAGCAGAACCTAGATCAGATTTATAATGTAGAATGTCCCCCTCCAAATAATTGTCGATTGCTTTTCCAGCTTCACAAGTCAAACCAACCAAAAGTACTGAGGAAAATGCAAAATGGCACACAACTAAAGCACATACCTGAGTTAGGACTGTAAAGAACAGCAGCTGGGCTTACACATTTTGGACATGAGCTGTTATTAACACTTGCCATGAAGCATAACTGAAGGCATCAACTTCAAAGTAAACAATCTTATTCTTAGAAGCAAAAAGGCTCCATAGGCTTATAAAAGTCTTTGTAAAGATCAGGGTGTTGCAGGTGGTATCCAAAGTAACTAGTTTGGAGCTACCTTCTCAGTTTGTAACCATGCCCTTGAAAGTACAGGCATAGTTATGCTTATTTATATCAGTTTAAGCTGATGTTTACTTTATATATTGCTAAATATAGACTTAAAATAATTCTAAGTAGTAGTCTATATATTATTTTATTAATTGAAACAAAAGAAATAGAAATAGATTTTTTGTACTAAACTCAACTATTCAAGGAACATTATTTCACCATTTATCCAAGCATCCTCTCAAAGTAATAATTTGTTTTTAATAAAATACACAATCCCAACTGATAAACAATACATTTTCTTGTATTAATTAATGCCAAGTGTTTCGAAGTCCTTGGAATGGATTAGAAGTCTGTTTCACATTTACTGAAAGAGCATTCCATAAACATAATATATTACAAAAGGAGTATATCTTAAGTTGGAATTTTAAAAAAGATTTTATTTCTTACCAATTGATGCAGTCCAATTCAGTGACAGACTTTTGGGAAGGCTGAATGAATCTAAGGAACCTAAATGGTTACAGAATACCATAACCAAAAATGGTTATGGTATTCTGTAAAATCTGAAACTAATAGCAAAGATCAGTCCAGCAAAATTCTTTGAAACAATTTTGATTTTGAAAAACTTAAGAAAAACATTTCTAATCCTATTATTTCCTACCTTTGAGAATTTACCAGAAACTTGACTCTCTAAGTACTGATCTCAAAAGGCATAGACTCTAATGAAGAAAATGCTTTCAATCATCATTAGGAAAATTTTAGTGCAGAGGAAATTTTTTATGCTTTGGTTTCTTTCTGGCAAGGTGCAATAACCTTAAGAGCAATTATAGATGCAAAAAACCCAGACTAAAGTAATGTGAATAAATCAGATTCACATGTAATAACTTTTTTTTTTTTAATTAAAAGAGAAATAAAGGGAATGCTTATATGACAGCAGGTACTTCCACATTGAGGAATTTGCCAAAAACAGGATCTTTATTCCCCTGAAATAAGGAAGCACTCTGGGAATCAGTAATAATGGATTGTTCCTGTCTCAACTTCAAAACAAGCCTTTGGCAATTCCTAGCTTAGTGTAGACAAGGAGTTCATGTAAATGAAATCAGTTTTAAATATGTTATAGATGCATATATCTATAGAATTACATCATAGGCACACCTAGATGATTTTATTAGTCTAAAACTAGAGTTTGCAACTTGCTTTCTAATACATTTGAACTGCTTCTTGTGAAGTCACAAAAATAAGTTGGGATGACAGCACTTCAGGAACACTCACCATATAAGCATAATATATATATATTTTGTACTCATATATATTCTTGTGTATATATAAAATACACCAGAACCTCAGTACCAAATACTTTGATGCAAATTTTTTTGGGTACATTAGATTTAGAACAGAGAGGAATCTTCCTTACCTCTTCTGCGTGCATAGCACCAAGCTTGTTTCCTGACAAGAGCTTGTTTTTGAGGCTCGGGCCGCCCGAGCCGCCGCCGCCCCCCGCCCTGCGCTCACAGACACCGCCCCGCGCGCCGCTCGCCGCGCGCTCCCGCCCCGGCACCGGCGGCTGCAGTACCGCCCTCTGCCCACAAGGCGGCAGCACTTTTCAAGCGAGTCCGCCACCAGGGACTCGCAAGATGGCGGCCCGTGGGGACCTTCACGGAGAAAGGCGTATTACGCCGATGCCTGTCGGCCCCCGCCAAAAACCCGCACGCTCGCGGTGCTGCTGACCCCACAGCCCATGTGCACGGCACCGGAACCGCCGCGGAAAATCCCGTCGGGGAGCGCCGGCGTTGGGGACAATTCAGGCAGTGGAGAAAACAGACACGGGTCCTCGAATGCCAACGTCCTCTTTTTCGCGCCATCTCGAGAAGGTCAAGCGAGTCCGCGACAAGCCACTCCCAAGATGGCGGCCGCGGGCGGCGGGCTGCAGTACCGCCCTCTGCCCACAGGGCGGCAGCACTGCCGCCCGCCACCGCCGGGGGCCGCCGCTCGCCTCGGGGCCGCGGGCGGGGCCGGCGGCAGAAAAGAACGGGCGCGATGCCCTCCGGAACCTGCCCTGCAGCAAATGCCCCAAAACATCCCGCGCGGAAAAGAACGCCAGCAAAAAAACCCCTGCCTCTAACCCAACAGGAACCAAAAGCAAAAACCTTCTCTTTTAAACTGCATTTCAAGCTATTTTATTTTTATATTTTTCATATTTATATTCACATTCGGGTTACTAATGTATATTGATGTGTAATTGTATTTTTATAATTTCTTACATTTATTCCTATTATATTTTATTATATTTTATATTTTTACACGTATCTTAATATATTGCTTATATATTTCTATAGTTAGATTTAGATTTCTAAAAGGTTTATATGGCTTAAAATAAACACCCTGCCCCTATCCAAGTAAAAATCTTTTAAAAAAACCCTTTCTTTTATACTGCGTTTAAATTTATCTTTATTTTTCGCATTTATGTTCAAATGTACATTTTTAATGTAGATTGATGCATGGTGTTATTTATAGTCTATCTCTTCCTAATACTTATTTTTATTTACATTTTATATTTTTATATGTATCTGTATACATTGAATATCTATTTCCATATTTAGAATGATATCAAAATAAAATGTATATTCATAGTTTTTCCATTAAAACCCTGCCTCTAACCAAATAAAAGCAAAAAAATCCCTTTCTTTAAACACTACTTGAATATTCATATATTTTTTCATCATTATAGTCACATGCGCATTTCTCCTTTATATTGATGTATCTATAAATATATATTATATAGATAATAAGGTAGCAAGATAGATAAATTTTCATTTCAATTCTATTTCGTACATACCGCTAATACTTATAGTTACTTACCTTTGAGATTTTATATAGCTCTTAGCGTATTTAGGATATATTTTTATACATAGATTTCTAATTTTATTTTATTTATATCTATAATTTTTATAATAAAACCCCTACCTACTACCAAATAGACAATTAAAATCCCCTTTACTTTAAACTATATTTAGATATTCCTTTATTTCTATTTTTGTGTTTTACAAGTTCTTATATATTCTATCACTATATCTTGAGGTACTACATTTCAAGCTATAATATTTATGACATATAATGTGTCATAATAAGACATATACAGTAAAATATGCATTATGTACTGTATTGATTCCTATTATTTTGTAATATTTATATATCCACATGTATTAATCATACATTTCTAGATTAATATTTATATTTATAATCTACATTTATATGTATATAAGCATATAAAACACCCTATATCAAACAATATAATACCTAATAGTAATGGATAACATTATTCATGTTACATGTTTTATTTATATGTTTTCCGTTCATATTTAAAATGGAAGTTTTATATTCCCATTTTCATATTTATGCATTTCTTTTGTTTCATTAGAGCTATAGTTAAAACTTTGCAGTTCTAATCCAGTTCCTCAAACTAAAATGCCAAAACAGCATCAAATTCCCAACAATGCCATCCAAAATATTCAGAAAGGTTCCACAGCCAACCAGCTACCGGCAAAAAACCCCACACTACACTTCTTTAACTAGCAGCTCTTATCACATCACAAAAATGAAACAAACATTTTTAAAAAGACCTATAGAAACACACACAGCAAATCACAAAAAAAAAATTAAGAAGAAAAAAAAAACCCCGCCAACTAACTTACTATACTCCAAACCATACAACAGACCTCGAACGTTTCTTAAAAAAAAACAAAAACAAAAAAACCCCACCAAAACTCTACCACTACACTAACTCATAAAGAGAACCCAATACTCTATAAAATGAACGAAAAAACCCCACCAAATAATTACCGATGTAACAAAATCGGAACCACGAAGAAAGAAAAGATTCACCACTGAAATAAAATAACTACCTAAAAAGATCCACCATAGAAATACCCACGTTCCCAAAAATAAAACTAATAAAAAACAACAACCAAATACATCAAACTACCAAAAAAAATCAACAACAACAAAATAATTATTCCTAACTCAATAAACCCATAATGCCTCAAACCATCAAAACACAAATACCACTTAGAAATAAGCAGGTCGCCAAAAGAGAAATGTAACCATAAACAACAACTCCCAAATTCCCTGCAACAATAAAACACACACGGCAAGCAAATAAGCCAAATTAATAAAACCCCTATGATATAATAAACAAGAATTCAACCATCAATATTAAAAAAAAACCTCACTAATTAAGTACAGGACACTACCTCAAGCCACCAAAACAAACACTACGCACTCATGCTAATAAAATCCTCCACAACCGAATGAAAAACCTACCCTCTACTTCACGCTACGACCCATAAAAATCATTGTAAACCTTTAAAAACACATCCTTTAAAAACATAAGAAACGATCAAAAATAAATCCAACAACAAACTCAATCCAAAAAGCCCTTGTCATCAGCGCCTGAAGCGAGAACCGTAACAACAAAAAAGTGCCCCACGGCCCTTCTCCTACACCAACTCCGGACAACAGAAAACGATCCCCTAAGTTCCCCAGAACCACCTCACAGCCACCCCAGGCAGGAGCGCTGGAAAATGAGAAGCCGCGCTCCCGGCAGGAAAGCGGCTCCTCGGGCAGGCACAGGCGGCGCCGCGCCGGGAGACCCCCGCCCGCTCCCCCCGGCCCGGCGGGGCCGGCACCGGGCCCGGGGGGCCCCGGCGGCGCCCGAGCCCCGCGCCCGGAGCGGACGGAGCGGCTGGCACCGGCCGGCACCGGCGCAGCTCCCGCGCCGCCTGCCCCGCCCGCCGGCCCGGCCAAAGCTCCCCTCGGCTCCGCACGGCTCGCACCGGCGCGGCTCCGGCAGTCCCGCGGCAGCCCCGCCGTGCCAAACTTCCCTCCCGCCTCGGCCATCCCCAGCCACTGCCAGCGGGGCTCCCGCGCCGGACCCTTCGCTGCCGGGCCAGGGGCAGAAGCGCCCCAAATGCAGCGGCGCAGCCCCATGCCCAACCTGCCAGCGCTGCCACAGCTGCGCCTCCCTTCCTTTGAAGCCCCGAAACTGACGCCACGCTCGGGCGCTCACCCCACTGCAACAAGGGCAAAGAAATGTGGGCTCCCCTTCCATCGCATCCCCTAGAAGAGCAGAAAAGAAGGTGTTTGCCTCAAATGATGGCAAAAGGGGGCTTTTTACCTCAATCCAAACCCCTTAAAAGGAGGGACAACAGGGTAGCCCCCTCCATTTGAACACCAGGATGATGGAATTGGGGGGGGGGAGGGGGGGCTACCCTCAAATCAAATTCATCATACGACAACAATATTTGTCCCCTTCCATTTAAAAGAGAACGCAGGGATTCCCTGTCTCCCCTCTGATACCCCTACTATCCTGGAAAAGGCAGGTTTTCCTTCAATAAATACCCTCAAAACCACAAATGGAGGGGGATTCCCCCACTAGTTCAGACACGGTCAATAAAAGAAGGGAAGCCAGTACCCTTAAAAGTTTGAATTTATTTTGTCTGCAAAATCCTTTTTTTTTTTTTTCCGGGAGCACCTTGGAGGGATTGGCAAGACGAAATTTAAAAGGGAAAGGAGAAAAGTCCCCGCTACAAAGGCTCACCGGCTCACCTGTTTGGCCGCTGCTTCTCGGCACAAAGGTTTGTCCCTCGGCTCCTCCTTCGAGCAATGCTCCACGTCCCCAGGTGCGTATCCAGGTGATCCCCCGGACCCTGTCTGCAGCGCTCACCGTCCTTCCATGAGACAGCCCCGGAAGCCCCACATAAACTCCTTTTCTCCAGCAACTCCGTGCAAAAGCCAGCGGCGGCAAACCCTCGCCCTAAAACAACCTCCCCCCGGCAGGAGCCGCCCCCTCCTCCTCATCCTCACAGCTCACCCCTGCCGCTGTTGCCCGCCTCCAACAGCATCTCTCCCTCTCCAGCACACAGACACAGATAAAACGGAACTCTGCTATGGGTGCGGGATTTCAGTAATCCATCTGGTTACACGAACAAAACACATATATACCACATATCCTGTTCTAGTTTCAGTCGTAATAGCTCCCCCCAGCATCCATGTCAAAGGCATAAAGGGATGTCGCTGAAGAACCCCACAGTCCCTGTGCCAGCCCTTCGGTTCCTATGGTGTGTTCAGCCCCTTTACCAGCACTGCAGTGATTACAGCACCCGCCCTACAAATCCCCTTTCCCAGCCCCAGTGATTTCAGCTCTTGACCCACAAGCTTTATTTCACTGCCAGCTCTCTTCTTCCAGCTCCAGTGGCACCTTGCTCCAGGTCTGCCCAGTGAACTTTCTCCCAGGCAAGAAAACAGGTTCTTGCCTTTGGCTCCAGTTTTTAAGCTTCACCTCCCCATGTAGAAATACCTTTTTCATCCCATTGTAGTAGTGTCCAGTTCAAGCCCCTCATTTTTTTACCCATTCTATGGTCACTCTCCAGATCTGCAGTGAGTATCCCTTTGAACACTGGTTACAGCACCAGCCCTCCAAATCCCCTTTCCCAGCCCCAGGGATCTCAGCTCTTGACTCACAAGCTTTATTTCACTGCCAGCTCTTCTGTTTCACTTCCTCCTCAACTCCTTCCCAGCAGTGCTACATAACACTGCATCTGGCTCTCAGGGCAGGATCTTTGTTTTAGCTCTAGCTCTGTGTGGTTTCAGTTCAGCACTTGAGCCCGTATTCCTGCCCCAACCTAACAATCCCTCCTGCAGTAACAGCTCTACAGTCTCTATCGGAGCCCTTGAAACAATTTCAGCTCCAGCCATGCAATTCCTCCATATTCCCTATCCCAGCTCCACAGGGGTTTTACCCCAAACCCTACCACATTTCTGTCTCCTCCGGCTCTGCTTCCTCAGCTCCAGCTCCTCAGCTTCCTACTGCCTGCAGCTAAAAGCTGCTCCTGCTTCTCACTGCAGCTTGGTGCTGTTGATAAGGGCACAAATCAGTTACTGTCATAATTTCAATGTCTCTTGCAGCTATCCCACCCACTCTAATGGGATCCCAACTTTGGGGACCCTTGAGGCCTGAAGCCAAACATCTACCTTCCCCCGCCTCCTGGGTCTCAGCCCAGCACCTCCCCAAAGGCCCCCTCACCTCTCCCAGGCAGCCCCAGGGGCTGGGAATAGCCACCGGGCCCCTGCTCCCACCTCCCAAAAGGTGCCCTTGGGCTGATGCATGGGCCCTGGAACCCTCTGAGCCCCCTCAGCCTCTGCTTGGTACCACGGGGCAGGGGCTGGGAACCCCCAGGCATCTCCTGCAGGCCCTGCACTGCAGCTCCATGCCTCTCTCCCAAGGCATTTATCCAACTCCAGCCCCAGCATTTCTACTGCCCCACATTGTTTTGGGCCTGACTCGTGCCAAAATCCTTATTCCACACCCTGGGCCTTTATGTCTCCGGTGACCTCACAACCCGTGATTCAACCTCAGCCCCACAACCCTTACTAAATTAATGTCAAACAAACAAATTAAATGTAATAAACCAAACGATGAAATAATGCAATACAGAAAAAAATATTAAGTAAAAGCAAATTCAAATAATAAGAATGCAAACAAGCAGCTTTATTCCCAGTATTCCCAACGTTACTTTAAATCCAGAAACCGCGAAACAGCTACTCCCCAGTGACAGCAGGTCGTCCCGCCACTTCAGGCCCCCCACGAGCCTCTGGCCGCCCGAGCCGGGCAGGGCGCGGCGCAAACAACTGGACACCACCGGCCCCCGGCGCAGGCAGACGCGGGAGTCGCGTCCGTGCTCACCAGCGCTCCTCGGATCGGCAGCCGCGGGGGGCCCGTCCCGGCGCAGCAGCGCTCCCCAGAACGCGCATCCGCAGCTCCCGTCGCCCCCAGCCCCGCCGCCGAACTGACGCCGCCGCCACACCGACGCACGCTACTTATACCTCAGCGCCGGCCCCGCCAGCCAATCACAACCCGAGGCAGCGCCGGCCCCACCAATCCGAGCCCGCCCATTCCCGCTGCGCTCGGCTCGCGACCACCCCGCGCTCCCCTCACGTGCCGCTCCTGCCGCCGCCATTGCAGGGGCCGGGTCCGCCCGCTCCCCGCCGTCAGCCCGTTTCCCTGGGAGAAATCCCGGCCGGCGCCTTAACGGGAAGTTCCCGCCCGCCCTTCCCGGCCCCAGCGCCTGCCGAGGCTGCGGCAGCACGGATGATAGGGCTCAGCCGGCTCCCAAAGCGGCGGCGGGAGCGGCGCCTCTGGCGCACGGGGGAGCGGGGCCAGGCTGAGGAGTCGGGCCGCGATTGAGCGGGCTGAAATGGCAGGAACCGCGCCCGGATTGAAAGGGCGGCTGTGATTGGACAGGGCGGGGAAAGGCGGGCCGGGATTGGCGGGGCTCGGGAGCTGCGTGGCCGCGGCCCGTGGCAGCGTGGGGCGGAGCCCGCGCTGCTCGGAGGGCCCGCGGGTGTCCCGGGTCCCGCTCGGAGACCCCCTGGCCCCTTCTCCGGCCCTTGCTCGTGCCCGGCTCCCGGCGAAAAGGGCCCCGCAGAGCCCGTACTGCAGCCGCCCGTCGTCACTCGGGGCAGGGGAGGGGCGCAGCCCGGCAAAGGCGGACTCTGCGATAGCAGCTCGGATCGAGGAGCGGCGGCGACGCGGCGGGGAGGCGGCTCGGTGGCGGGGAGTGGGGAGGGCGCGCAGAGCCCGCTGTGGGCTCTCGACGCCTCTTCCCCCCGCAGTGTTTCCGCTTCTGCAGGGACTTGGCCTGCCCCGACTGGCCGAGATCAGCACCGTGGCCAAAATAGTAAAGTGCCCGCGTCTCCCTGCCCGCCCTCCGCCTGTTGCGGGCCCGCTGCTCGCCCCCCTTCTCCCCCACAGTCGTCGGATGTTATAGAGGCGAAAATAATATTGACTTTCACATTCATAGATCAGCTTTTCGCATCACAATTATTTTGATATGCTACAACTTACTTTTAACTGTTTTGTATAGTATAATATGCCAGTTTCTGTATGCACTGTATATTTCATATGCATACTATCGTGTTAAATATATTCTCTCATAGGCTTTAGCAAAATGTTAAAATAGAGACTTCCATGTAACTAACTCAGAGAATGGTGTAAAGCAATTCTGTTTATTATATCTCTGGACTGGCCTTTCCAAGTGGTAACAGTGACAATAACAGAGCATAAGCATCCAAGAAGGATTTATTGACTCTACCGGTGCTATGAGGGAGTGTGAAACTACAAGATAAAACTACAGGAAGAAAGAAAATATGTAGACCTAATTTACAGAATGTTCTGCTGACAAATCAGAAGTTAAAACTAAACAAGAGAGTTCCTGGAACATCAAAAACTCAAAGGAAGATTTGAATAATGTATAAGCTAATGAATATGCATGTAGCCCCAGCAATGTAACTGTATATAGTGAACATGATTTTAATCTACCTCTGTGCTCTTTGGCCGTGGGGTGCCAGAAGTGCCCCAATTCTGGATTATTTTGTCCTTTTATCCTTTATTAAACTTTTAAAAATTTTTAAGTGTGAACTCTGTTTATCACATCAGTGAAGTGGAAGCTCAAGCTGATCTGCATCCAGGTGCTGCGAGACCTGCTGGGGGAGGCCACCAAGGTTAAGTGTGGGGCTATCATAGTGAAGGTCAGTATTTTAACATTACAATAGCATAATCAACTACATTAATTTATTTTGTGTTCTTCGTGCAAGCCTCAGCTAAGAACGCTACTGGCCTCTACTAGTATTAATAATATGCATACTAAGTGTTATTGGTATTAATATTTTAATTGTTCGTGTTAACTCTGGTAGTGAGTGTGTTAGCTGGTGTTTACTATGAAGCTCTGCTCTCCCACAGTATGACAAGATCCTGAAGCTAACCTCAGGTGCAAAGTTAGGTAAGCACTGCTGTCCTTACCATGATCCCCCGATGGAGTCATGCTCCAGAGATGGGCAGCAATGAGTGATGCCTTCCCAAGGTGACAGAGCTCACCCTCCCTCCCTCCCATCTGCAGTCATGGGATGTGAAGGCAACCATTGCTGTCCTCGGCTTCATCCTCTCCAGTGCAGCCAAGCACAGAGCACAGTATAGACAGCGAGTCTCTGTCAAGTGAGCTGCAGCAGCTGGGACTGCGCAAAGGTAGGGGAAACCCTCAGGGTGGCACCATGAGCCAGACCTGGTGGGATGTTGCTGAGAGTTCCCAGCCATGCCTTCCTCACACCCAGATGGAGGACAGGCTGCCTATTGTGCTGTCCTCCATCAGCTCCCTTCTGTGACATCAAGCCCTGGGCTCTCCTCAGGTGCTTTCGTGGGGTTTGGCAGCTTCAGGTCTGGTGTGAGCAGAGGGATTCTTTGCTTATCTCCCCTCATGAGCAGAGCATGCCAGTCAGTTGTGCTGTTTTACATGTGCCTGACCCACAAAGCTGCAGGAGACTGAGGACTTGTAACAGGTGCAGGACAGGTTCAGAAGGAACTTGGGGAAAAAACCTCTGTCTTTCTCAGTCCAAAGGGGCAGCAGAGCTCACATCTGCTCACAGTAATCCTCTGGAGGGTGAAGCAATGTTTGTATAGAAAGATGACTGTTCCGTAAAATTCCAAAATGTGGCTCCTTCATGGATGCTAGAGGTTGCCAGCAGCAGGTAACATACTCAAGTAGGAAGTCCTACTGAGGAGTCATAGAGTAGGAAGACCTGCTGAGGGGTCTCCCTTATGCTCTCAGCCTATTTCCCTGAATGTCTGTCAAACTTCCCTCCAGTCCAGCAGGACTGCTCAACGAAGGGTCCCAGTAACAGAACGCTGACAGACTGGTCAGGCACAAGGGTTTCAGCTTTCCCAGGGTATTGACAGACAAACTAAATAGTGAAAGTCAAAGAAATCTTCCCTTCTCATGTGACAGTTCTCCAACCACGAGGCTGTGATTCCTTGCAGAAGCTCTAAGACTGCAGACATGCACATACCAGTAGGGCCTGAGCCTGCCTAGAAAACTGTTGGTAGGTACTCCAAACATGATCGCTCACTCTTTCACACTCCAATGACAGTACTTACTAAATCTCCCTTACTAAATCTTCCCTTCAGTGAAAGCCCAGACACTTTGTCCAGAATACTACTGTGGAGGGTGGACCCTGGCTGGATGCCAGGTGACCAGCAGAACCTCTCTATCAATCACTTCCCTCCTCAGCTGAATAAAACATAAAAAAGCTCATGAGCTGAGATGAGGACAGGGAGATATCAGAGGAAAAAGAGGGAGAAATAAACTGAATTTATTACAAATCAAAACAGAGTAGGGTAATGAGAAGTAAAACAAGTCTTTTAAACACCTTTCCCCCTTCCCTTTCTCTTTCCCAGGATTAACTTTATTCCCCATTCTCTCCCTCCTCCCCATCAGTACTGCAAGAAGATGAGAATGGAAGTTTCAGTCAGTTCATGCCACTGCTTCCCCCTCAGGAAGAGGAGCCCTTGTGCTGCTGCAGCATGAGATCCCTTCTACAGGAGACAGTTCCCTGTTAATTTCTCCAATATGGGTCTTTCTCATGGGCTGTGGTTCTTCAAGACCTGCTCCAGCGTGAGGTACCTTCCCTGGGGTCAGTCCTTTGGGAACTGCTCTGCAGAGGGTCCCCTGTGAGGTCACAAGTTCTACCAGGAAACCTGCTCTTCTCTCCACAGGCCCACAGGTCCTTCCAGGACTTGCTCCAACATGGGGCTCTTCCACAGGCTGAAAGTAGATTTGTGCTTCCCTCCTGCAGACCACCATGTACTCCAGGAGGACAATCTGCTTCACTATGGCCTGCATCATGGGCTGCAGGGAAATATCAGCTCCAGTACCTGGAACACCTCCTCCCTCTCCTTCTTCGCTGACTTCTGTGTCTGCAGAGCTGTTTCTCTCACATATTCTCAGTCTTCACTTCTCTGGCTGCAATTGCTTCCGCCAAATAACTTTTCCTACTTAAATATGTTATCCCAGACATGTTACTACCATGGCTGAAGGTCTCAGGCTTGGCCAGTGGCATCGTGGGGCTGGCTGGCATTGTCTCTGCCAGACATGGGGGAAGCTTCCAGCAGCTTCTCAAAGACATTCCTGTAGCCTCCCTGCTACCAAAACCTTGCCATGCAAACCAATACACATATGTACATCACAGAAGCCTAAATATAAGCAAGAATAATTCCAGTCTAAAGTTTTATTACAGGTCTGCACATACTTCCTCCTGCACAGGAAAAACATGCCAGCTATGGCATAGGCACTCTGTTGAACATTTCCTGCATTCTTCTTTCCTTCTGGTTCTCTTCCCAGATTCAAAGGAACTTCTGATCATGACCTTATCTAATGAACAGTGAACAAGACACAGTTTGCTGAGCTTCTATCCATGCGGCATCACTCTTCCCATCATGTATAAAATCAGAGTCATTTATGGCATCACTGATCTAGAGTATCAGCTTCACTCCAGCATTCACATGAACAGCAAGATTCACAAGTCACTTTGGTGAGTTGTTTCTTTTGATTAGATTGGCTCCTCAAGGACAAGAAGAAAGACCAATAAAGGATGTGTGAGGCAATTACATTAGGATCATCTTCAAATACTTCATTTATAGAGTCACAGAATGCTTTGGGTAGGAAGGGACTTCAAAGATTATCTTGCTTTAGCCCCATGCCATGGGGCTAGATCGGGTTACTCCAAGCCTTGTTCAGTGTGGCCTTGAACATTCCCAGTGACTCAGTTGTATGAGAGGAGAATAAGTAGGACCATGAGTATATAAAAGATTTGATCTCTCAAGTAATTCTTCTGCTTTGGAAAACTGAGTAGCATATTTTCTCTGGTTACAGAAGCTGCTCCAAAGTGTTGACTTGTTTGCTAGGGTTCTTTGATCACAGAAAGCCCAAACAGCTGCATCTGAGGACAGATCTGTCACTGCCAGACTGGTTTTTCTTTCAGTTCTTGTGATCTTATGACTAAAGCTGCATCTGTAGAGACTACCAAATCCAAGCACATGTGGTATGGACAACCATGCTGCTGTTTATGAACCAATACCATGACAAGACCAGTGCAAGTTACATTCTTTTGCTAGTTCCTACACTAATAATGGCTTGAAACTCTTCTATGTCAGAATATTTCTTCCACACTCCACCACCCAGTTCTGCTAGTGCTCTTCACAAACTTGGCGCTACTTTTAGTTTTAGTCCATTTCAAATGGATAATCTGGGACACAGAATAAAAAGGAAATTTGTGTCCTGAAATTTGGCCTTTAATTTTTACAAAGACAAGTCAAATACTGCCACCCAGATTCAGTTTTTCTGAACCTGCCTTGCATTTAGGTGGCTAAGCTTCAGTATTTGTACAGGAACATGCACTCAGATACACAAATATAGTAGAGTGTTTCTGTTCCTACTTCCATATTCATGTTTGTGGAAATTTTGTTTGGAAAAATGCTGTCTCTCCTTCCTTGTGACACCCTTCTGTCTATTGGCACGGCATTTTCTCCCAGCTCGATTTATACACTATGCCGACGGTTGTTTATCATGGCCACAATGTGTGACAGGTCCAAACTTTTCATCATAACCTCCATGAACTCCTCATCTTTCCTTGCTCCCTCCACAAATTCATCCAGAGAAAGTTCACCTGTGTCAGACACAAACAAAGGGCATCAGAATCCACATCTGACGGGAAAAGGAGTACAGTAATCTAACTTTAGAGACCATTTACTATATAGGCACTGTCCTAAAGACCTCAGAGAATCTTCTTAAGCTTTTATGAAACATCCCCAGTATCCAGACAATAGCTGCTTCCTTTTTTTTCCCCATACAAGGGAAGAGGTACATAAGAAAGAGCAATAGAAGTGGGCAGCAAAGGAGTGGCATCATAGCATCCTTTTTGGCTCAACCTGTCGTAATACTAACCTGCCCTATACTTGCTGGTTTTCAAGATAAAGGAACTGACAGAAGGAGGCTGTGACAGACATAAACAAATTTTTATGTCTTAGGCCAAAAAGCCCTTGTACAGGGAAGCAGCTCAGCAGAGTTATTCTGGAAAAACAAAAGAGCCTGTCAGAAAGTAATGAGCACCTGAAGTAGCAAGGAAATAGATACCTCTCAGGGACATACAGGGACCACAGTGACACTTGACCAACTTTTGACTGAGCACTTCATATTCTTGCTGTACTGTCTACAGTAGACTCAGTGAAGAAACTCTGAACTTCAACATTAAATGGCAGTTTTTCCTTTCCATACTGAAGTACTTAGGAGAAGCTGGGGCCATTTGATAGTATTTCCCACTTCTAGCTGGCATGAGCTACACAGCAACATACAAAAAAGAAAACGAAACACCACTCCAAAACCCCACTACCAAAGTCATGTGGACAGAACAAAGCTGACATCAGTACAGGGAACAAATCCTGTCACACTGATTATTGTATAATGCCAGGAGAAAAATCCTTTTTGGTCCATGGAGAAAGTATTACTGGCTGAGAATGCAAATAGAAATAAAATATGAAGTGAAGAGGCCTAAAGTTCAACCAAGAAAGGAAAAATTTGATGTAGAAGAGACTTTTTGAGCTGGATGACAAAGCAGGAACCTTACCATCGCCATTCACATCAATCCTGTCAAAGACTCGGTTGGTGAACTCTTCTGCACTAGTTTCATGGTCACCACCATTAATAGCTCGAATAGCCTAAAATAAAAGAGCAAGAGTAAGGAGCTGCCTGAGTACTCCCAGACTGATTCCACATGTCAGCATTGATTCAGAATAAGACAGTCATGCCTGGTACCTTCACCATACAAATGAACCAGTACCACAGGAAAACAAAGCACAAATCGTCAGGCCTTATAGATGGCACTGAAGGGTGCAAAGGGAACATGGCTCTGGAGCATGGAATGAGCAGCAAAACCCAGCGGATTGGCCTAATTCTGCTTAGCTACAGTTTAGATGCTGCAGAAATGGCAGACTCCAAATCCACCTAATTGATCCATTTTGTCCCACTTTGTGACCCTGCGGTACACCAAGCCTCAGAAACTCTGTCAAACACCTTTCGCACTAGACGTTATGAAATTCCTTTGTTATTTGCTGTGGTAATTTATTTCTATTCTTACTTTCACGATTTCCATTTATATACTCCTCCCTGTGTGTCTGACTTCTCCTAAAGCTCACTGGAAATGCATTTTTGTCTTGAGAAACTTTAAGCCTTATCCACTTCTGTTTGCTACAATTCTTCTTATTCATAACTACGTAGTGCAAGGTCCTCTTTTCTTTCAATGCTAATTATTTCCTTTGTTTAAGGATGTCCATGAAATATGTGATATCAGAGCCTTTATACGGATTCTAAGACTATTAATTTTTTAGGTTTTACCCTTTGGTATTTGGTCATTTTATTAATTTTTTTTTTCAAATGCTATTTTACTGAAACTTATATCTTAGCAATTTTGTGACATTACCAAAAAAGACAAAGGACAATAAAGATCTTGCCACCAGTTGTTGCCCACAGGACTTGTTTCTCAAGAGTTCTGTGTTAACTATTGCTATCTGTTGCTTCGCTGTAATATCTGAGTATTTCTATTTAAAGCTACTAGTAGGAGGCTGTACATTACTACAGGTATTGCTCAGGTCTCTTTGATACCCAGCTCTAAAATTCTTATCCAGATAAGAATGCAATATTAACATCTTATTAGTGCTTTATCAAATAAATTTTATGACATTTCATATTCAGAAATGTTATTTATTTAAGGTCATTGAATCTTTCCTGCATCTTGGTCATTTCCCATTATCTGCAAAATAATCCGAATTTGCAGCACAATTTATTCTGAGATATTCATAGTGATCTTTATGCCCATAATCCCAACCCCATCCACAACAGCTATTTGCATACAATCCCTTCAATTCTCAATCCTTTTTCTTCAGGCTATTCGACAGAGTCAGAAATGTTTTATTATATTGATATTTAGGAGCTGATTCTAAAAAGCAAACTGGGAGTAGCTCTCCAACTTCTCATGGGGAAAAGGACATATGAAGGATACATTGCAGAAATAGCAACTGACAGTCACAGGGTCTGAAACCTTGGAAAGTGCAATTTAGGTCTGAAACCTTGGAAAGTGCAATTTAGGTCGCAGGCAGCTAAAACAATTTTATGGTTAGCTATGCTGTAACATAAGCTGTGCTAATAAAGAATCTGTCAAGTCTGCTTATTGCATTATATGGTGGTGGGGAATTCTCCTTAGAGAAGGAATGCTTTTAAAGGTCTCAACCATGATCATCCATATGGGAAACAGCAAAGGTCTTACTTGTAAGATTTGTCTTTAAGGAAAGAGGCTAGAACACAACTCCTGTAGATTCACCTTGATGATGTTGAGCAGTTCATGTCGATCAATGCAGCCATTGCCATCTACATCATAGAGCTTGAAATACCACCGCAATTTCTGCTCCATCTTCCCTCGGAGAACGAGGCTGAGGGCAGCCACGTATTCCATGAAATCAATATATCCATCCTGTCAGAAAAAAAAAAACAACAAAATTGTGACAGGAGTAAACTGAGGGAGTTAATGCACTGGAGTTGTTTCACCTTATTGCTCTTTAGATTCACGGCTGAAAGAGAAAGGCCAACAAGTGGCACAGGGATTTTGACTTGGGAAAAATCTTCTGTGCACAGACACATTTCTGTAGCCACTAAATACCTGGGTTCCTAAAGTTATGACCTAGTAGAGAGAGGCTCACCACCTGCAGTGAGGGAACCTGTCGCTCCTCGTTGTCAGCAAGAACAAAACCACCTCTGTACACCAAAGATGACTACCTTTGGCCTGCTGGGAGAGAGCACTGAGCCCATCCCATGGGCTGCAGGTTTTCTGTACTAGTCTGCTCTGCCTTTGTGGGAAACTCTGCTATTCCACTAAGCCATAGATCTCCATTCTGTGGAAAATAATGTGAGTGGGAATATGTTGTGAAATACATAGAGTGTGATTTGAAAAAATGTTCAGTATTTAAGTTTTTAATATTTAATTTCTTGACTCTACAAAGAAAAAAGTTCTTGTTTCTTCTGCAAGAAAAATGCCAGTTAGTAAAAGTTCATCGGCCCTAGATTTAAAGCTGACTAAAATTGGAAGCTGTTAAAAACAAACTACAAATAAAACACACATCTAGGTCAAAGATTCTGAATAACAATAATTCTTCAACAAATAACAGATCAAAAAAATGAGACTTTCAATTATTAAGGTATTTAATAAAAATCAAATGCCTTTCTGAAATGGATGCAAATAAACATATGTAAAAGGTGAATGTAGGTGAATTAGCAGAGCACTGCTGTTTTGCAGTAAGGATCACCACATTTAAAATATTCATTCAGGGTGGGAAGAGGGGTTGACAGGCTGAGAGAGTTGTGGCTGGTCAGCCTGGAGAACAGAAGGTTCCAGGGAGACTTAGGTGCCCCTTCCAGTACTTCAAGGGGCTTAGAAAAACTCTGGAGGGGTACTTTGGACAAGAGCATGCAGCGATAGGACACAAGAAAAACGGCCTTAAGCTGAAGGTGGGCAGAGTTAGATTAGGCATTAGGAAGGAATTCCTGACTGTGAGGGTGGGCAGGCCTGGCACAGGGTGCCCGGAGCAGCTGTGGCTGCACCTGTATCCCTGGCAGTGCCCAAGGCCAGGCTGGACAGGGCTTGGAGCAACCTGGAATAGTGGATGGTGTCCCTGTCCATGATTGGGGTGGCACTGGGTGGTTATTAAAGTCCCTTCCACCCAGACCATTTCACGTCTCTATGACTCTGTGCTGCCCCTCCCTGCCATGCCCAGCACTCAGAACTGTCCCCTTTGTGACAGCATCCCTGGCCCGGGCACTGTGAGCATCACGAAGGCTGTGGGGGCTGTGGTGGAGCCGCACTAGAGGTGCCACCTTGGTTCTGGCTGTGCCACCTGTGCTGGCACCGATGGCTCTTCTGCGGCTGCTCGTCCTGCTGGCCCTGACCGGGCCTGTGTGGGGCTCCTGGGACACCTGCAGGTCAGTGGTCCCACTTAGGGGGTTCCCTGTAGGGGCCCCACACGTTTCCCACACCCAGACCACAGTGTTCCAGCCTCAGCCCCTGGAGGACGAGCCTTAGTCCCTGGACAGTGCCCAGCTACTGGCACAACCTGTCTGCCAGGCTGTAGTAGAACAGATGGGCCCCCTGCGGGTCCCAAGTCTTCCTGCCACTCAGCACTGAGCAGGAAGGGACAACAGGGGACTTCCAGCCTGAGTTGCAGCAGCCACTGAGCAGAACAGCGATGGCTTTGTGTTAGAGAAGGGCCTGCAGGCTCCGGCCCATGGCCTCTGACCAGCTCCATGACTTCTGCTGCTGGCACGTCCCATGTTGTGGCTGGCATGGGTGTCCAGCGAGGGGCCTGGCCCAGCATCGTCAGCATCCAGGCCACCTGGGAGAACGGCACGTGGCACATGTGCTCGGGTGTCCTCCTCAGCTCCCAGTGGGTGCTCACAGTCGCACACTGCTTCGCCAGGGCCGGGTAAGAAACGGTAGGGACAGAGATGTCCCCGGGGCTGGGGCAGGTGCCCAGCTCACAGCACCATGTTCATGCTGACAACCTGTGTGCTGGGTACCCGCAGGGCGGCATCGACACCTGCCAGGTAGGAGTCCCCCATACACAGCCCAGTCTGTGCCCTCTCCACCCCTCCCCTCCCATCCCCTCCCGCGAGTCACTGTCCTATGTCCCTTTGTCCCCAAGGCCTGTTCCTGCCCACAAAGCCCATCCAGTGCTCTCAGCAGACCCAAAGTGAAGGTGTGACGCTGGAACATCTGTCTTCTGCACATCTGGGACCCATGTGCAGAGATGGGAGAGCCCCTGACCTGTGCTGGGAATGAGGACCTGGCAGGGATTGGGGGAGAGGAGCCAGCCCCGGGACTGGGGAGAGGAGCCAGCCCCGGGACTGGGGGAGAGGAGCCAGCCCAGGGCTGTCAGCAGCCCCCCACAGTCCCTGAGCCATCTCTCCTGGCACAGGGAGACAGCGGGGGTCCCCTCGTCTGCAAGGACAACAGAGCTGACTACTTCTGGCTGGTGGGATTGAACAGCTGGGGAAGAGGCTGTGACAGAGCCAGGCACCCTGCAATCTACACCTCCACTCAGCACTTCTACAACTGGATCCTGCTCCAGACGGGCCTGAGCCCAGCAGAAAGAGCTGGTCCAGCACCAAAGCCAGTCATCACCTCGGCCCCTGAAGAGGAGCCTGAGGAACCAGAGGAACCAGAGGAACATATCAACTTGACCCCTGAGTACAGCCAGAGACCAGCAGTGACATCCTCGGGCACGTCACTGCCCATGGCATTCCCCCACCAGATCCTGGTGCAATTCCGGAATCTGCTGCAGGAGTTCCTGCAGTTTTGGAAGGACAAAAAAGCCTGAGCAGCAGTGGGATGAGCAGAATGCAGGGCTACAGCGGATCACAGCAATTCCTGCTGGGCCAAAGGTAGCCTTGGGGCCAGAGGCTTCTCTGTCCTGCCCATGCTGCTGCGCTGTGGCCACAGCGATGCTGACGTGACTGAGGTGTTGAAGTAAAGTTTCTGTGCTCACCATCAACCATGTTTTCAGCCCTGCTCAGTGCACCTGCAGGCTCTCAGAGTCCCTGCTCTGTCTGTCCATCTGCTGTGCTGTTCACATTCATTCTTCAGCCCGGAGAGGGCTCCAAGGAAACCTCAGTGTCCCTTGCAGTGCCTGAAGCAGGTTATAGTAGTGGGAGAGAGCGGCTTTTTGCATGGGCAGGGCATGACAGGACAAGTAGGAATGGATTACATCTAGAGGAGGGGAGATTGGGATGAGGTGCTGGGAAGGAGTTTTTACTCAGGGGGCGACGAGGCCCTGGCACAGGGTGCCTAGAGAAGATATTGCTGCCCCTGGATCCCTGGAAGTGTCTACGGCCAGGCTGGACAGGATTTGGAGCAACCTGGGAGGTGGTGTCCCTGCCCATGGGAGGTGGTAGAATGAGGTGACCTTTAAGGTCCCTTCCAACTCAAACCTTTCTATAATGAGATGATTGCAATTTATAAAAGAAGAATATTGAAAATTTATCCCCTTTCTCATTATGAAAGTTTTCAAAATCTGAAGATCCAGAGAGTAGACGATTCCATTCATCATGTCTGTATTTTAACAGGGTGGATTTTCCTCTGGGTGCTCTTGTTCCTTGCTCTTGTTCATGAAAGTATCTTAGATTAAGTGACTAACTGTTAACAGACTACGATTAACTGATGTAGGTCCATCACCATGAGTTGCCACACTTTTACTTCATTCCTCCTGAGATCACTATCACTTTATTTAGATGGTAACTTTTCTGACCAAATTTTAATTTAACAACCTTCTTATTAAATTGTTTACTGCATCTCACAGGTGAACTCTGGCATGCACAACACCCTTGAATACATTTTAAATTCCTTGAACATCCTAAGAAGGGAGAGAGGTGAAGTAAAAGAAAGACTTGTGCAAAAGCTGTAAAGATTTTGCTTTACCTTATGAAACTGCTTCTCGTCCCTGTTATCCTGGGCACAGAGGACTTTGGGGTGAGAAAAGATGTTCTTTGAGGTCTGCAGTTATTTCCAGACATTACATCCACCACAAGACTTCAGCTACCCTAATGGAGCCTATCTGCTGCTCTGCTTAAGAATTTTGAAATATTCCTAAGCATTCCTTAACTCCTTATGCTGCCTCACATGTCCAAAGTAATAGTACTTTGTTGGTCCCAAAGCTTTCCTTCTTCAAGACTGACTCTGTGATTTCCCTGGTTGTCATGCCTCTGTGACTGGATCCTTCTTGACTGCATTTTAGAACCTTGAAGCAGAGAGTAAAGCTGAATTTTCTCAGAATGCTATAAACCCAGATTTCTTTGTCATTAAGAATTCAGGTCTACAGGCATAGGCTGAAATACATATGGATAAAACTCAGGCAAAAGTGAGGGCCATTGCACACGCTTAAAGGAATTATGGGGGCTACTCTTTTCTACCAGCACAGTTTTTCTCACCCGTCACAATGAGAAATACTGCCCACCCCCTCACTCCAGCTTCATGCTGCACCTACCAGCATCAAGGACAGCCACAGACATTGTCTACCCATGCAGTGTTAATTTCAGCTGCCAAATACCTGGAAATTACTTCTCTGTGAATGCTATAATGATTTCTATTGTGTCTGATTCCTGTGGTCTCCACAATCTCATACAGCTATATTTTTTCATAATAAGAACATATAAGAAGAATAATGAAATTAGCATTTTCCTAGTTAAAGAAGGCCAAGTCAAATAATCAGCAACAGGAATTTTCAAAATTCAAATATGAACATGCATGAGGTAGTTAGATAATCAGGTGTACCTATGTTTATGTCATCTATGTTATTACCTGTACACAGTCATTTGCTCCTTACATTTAGCTACTTTACATAAGCACCCCTTGGCAGCTTTCCCCACCAGTGTTTGCAAGAAAATATTTATGTTCTTTATGTTTGCAAGAGAAAGACAAAGACTCTGAAAGTGCAGGAGTTGGATCACTTCTAAGTAGCACAAAACAGTTAATTCCTTGACAGAGAACTCACCTTGTTCATATCAAACGTGCGGAACATCTGCTCAATGTATTTATTGGCCTCTGGATCCAGCCCTCGAAGCCCAAAGAATTGCTTAAATTCATGCTCTGTCAGCTGTCCAGAAGGACACTCCGTCATGAATTTCTTGTACCAGTGGTGGATCTCGACAGCCTGTAGATCATCCACCGTGGAGCTGCTGTTGTTTCCCATATGTGTCTGTGGTCAGAAGGATGATGCTACAGGAATGATCCTCTTCCTCCTGTGGCTCTCACAGCACTGCCTGTTTGCTCCTGTCCATGCTCAACACCAATGTCAATTATGTGAGGGATCTGACTTTCCACAAGCCAATTATAAATGTTAATCTTCTTAGAGGCTGATCTACAAACCAGAAAGTTTCAGTGATACAAACAGTCTTCTTAGAATGGAAAGGAGGTGCAAGATAATCTAGCAAATCACTGCTATTTTAGGAGCTAAAGCAGAAAGGGTGAGAAGGTTAATCAGACACTGGCATTGGGAGCTATATTGGTTTGGTAGACTACACTATTTTTAACCTTGATATAATTATACGTGAAGATAAGAGGAAATGTCCATGAGATGTGGGCTGTGAGGTTAAGTAAAGATCTGCTCTTCTAAGTGGATTTGAGAGTCTGTTTTTTCAGATACACGTGTTGAATAACTGAGTGTGTAGGACCAGAAAGTGTTACAGAAGTGGCCCAGTACAGGAGGGAGGTTATGTGGGAAAAAGCTCACCTCCATGCACACAAAGGAGCACAGAGGAACAATGCAGGGGGACCCAAATAATCCCCTGGTTTGGCAAATCCAAGAACCATCACGGAAGTGCAGTCAACCCATGAAAGGCTCAACTGCACAAAGAGGAAGGAGCAGAGAGACAATCACAGGCTGGGGGACACAAATTACCCAGTAAGAGAAATAAAGGCCCTGTCCCAGCTCCTTCTAAATCTGTTGCAGGGGAGCCACTAGAGCCTTGGGCCTAGAGGTGGCACCCATCATGATGAGTTGGTAGGAGGGGTTGCAGAGGACTCCACAAACTGTGTACTGCCTAGGGACATGGAAAACACTGTGGGGTCCAGGGAAAGAGCATTTGGGGACAAGACTCACAACCGGATGTTTAGGAGGGGAAAAGAAGGTGGGGAAAGGGATGGGTCTAGGTGGTATGGGAATGAACAAACATGAGAAAATGGAGGCAAGGGGAGCAAAAGGGGCTGGTTGCATGTAGAATGGTGCAAATCAGTATGAATGTGTATCTATGCCTTGGGCCTGGTCATCACAGTCTTTCTTGTCTTCTAACACTTCTACCTCGTTTCTTTTTTCTGGCTACACAGAGCTGTGCTCTGGGCAGATGCATGCATGGGGATTTAAGTGCCCACAACTGGATTGAGTAGGACCATGTCAGTCTATGATCACTAGTAAATATCAAGCCAGACTAGCCAGCAAATAGGCCAAGTAGTCTGTGAAACAAGTGTGTGTGTCTCTGTTAGTGAGACCACCGGAGTAGCTGACTATTGGACTATTACGCCAAGAGTTGTAATACCAGAGCAGGGGACAACAGTGCCCATTTGCACGAGAGCAGGCTTGGATCGGACTCCTCCGGAAGCTCTCAAGGCCGGCTTGGAGCAACTCGGGAACGGGCGGCAGCGCCAGGCCCCGGGCCCGACCCGCCCCCGGGCCCGACCCGCCCCCGGGCCCGTCCCCGGGCCCCGCCCCGCGGCCCCGCCCCCGCGGCATCGGCCCCGCCCCGGTCGCCCACCGGCCAATGTGAGCCTCCGTCTCACCAACGTTTCGGTCCGGCCCGAAACGCCGCAACTGATTGGTCACTGCCTTGTTTTAGGGTCGGAACGCACAGCGTGCTCGGGATTGGTCACTTTGTGCCATGTTGCAGGACAACCATGGCGCCGAGGCAGCTATTGCCTGGCCATCACGTGTATCTTTCAGCCTCCGCAGCTGATTGGTTTCTCTGCGCCGGGGGCGGGGCCCCTCCGGAGGCGGAAGTGGCGGCGGCGCGTTCCGGTGATGAGGTGGCGCGCCGGAGCGGTCCGGCGGCGGCGGCGGCCCGGGACCCTCGGCTGGTCAGAGCCGCCCCTCGGCGCTGACCTCCCCCACCGTGCTGCAGGTCAGTGCCTCCCCTCGCCCTGGGTGCTCTCCGCCCGCACCGTACGGGCTCCGCCGCCCGGCTCTCGGCAGCAGCTGCTGGTCGGGCTCCTTTCGTGGCCATACGGGGCCGGGACGGGCTCGCAGCTCCCGGGGCCCGGCCCGTAAGGGGCAGCGGGCCGGGGCAGGCCTCTGCTCTCGCTCTGGGCTTCGCGTCCCGGCCCGGTCCCCCCACGCCGATGGGACGCTGCCGGCGGTGCCTCCGGTACCGGGAGCGCAGCCCAACGGGGGGAGGTTGGCACTCCGGGGGCCCGCCGGTGGCGTGCGGTCTGGTAGATCTGCAGGGCTGCTGGGGCCCCTTGGCGCTGCCCGCCGCTGCTCCGGTGCTCCCTGTCCCGCCCGGCTTCTCTTGGAGCCCCTCCGCACAGCGTGAGAAGTTTGGCCCAGGGCTTGTCCACAGCAGCAGCGCTTTTAATGAGTGTTTGACTTTAAACGAAGGGAAATGCAAGGAATTAGCTTCATTTATGTTTAATAAAGTTATAGTAGAATAGATTAGGGAAGAACATGGTAAAATCTTTCTTTGCTGTGGCTGATACCTAAGGATAGAAATGTGCTCCTTACTGCCGGCTGTGCAGACTATCAGTGGGCTTCGACTCTTTGGGTCAGGGATGTGTATTTCAGAGGAAAGGAGCCTCCTCCAGATCACTGCTGATCTGTAGTTCCAGTGTTCAAAGTAAGGTCTCCCCAGCAAAAGTTCATTAGTCACAGGAATGCTGAGCAAAGGTGGAGGATGTAAAGGATCCTGGCTCACATCCTGAGCTCTGTGAGGGTCTTTGTGTTCTGCTGTTCATTACAGAGGTGGGAATCTGTATGCCAGTGTGAGCCTGGGAGAGCACCAGTCTTGTCTCTGAGAGCACTGTTTACTTTATTGGGGTCAGGCAGTGGAACACAGATTAACCTCTGTCCTTTCATGTTTGGCAGTGTATAACACCAGGATATTCTTGCCACAAGCCCTTGAGGCTAATGCACAATTGAAGACAGCCACCACCCTCTGTGCAGGCTGTTGGCTTTGGGACAATTTAAAGCCATGTTACACCTGCTCCTGGTTTTGTTCTCAGGGAGGGCTCAAAGAAGGCAGAGCCAGGCTCTTTACAGTGTTGCCTGGTGAAAGGATGAGAAGTTGTGAGCATGAACTGAGACACAGGTGATTACCTTGATCATCAGGAAATAATTCTTCACTCTGTGGCTTACTGAGCACAGGTACAGGTTGTCAGGGAGGTTGTGAAGCCTCTGTGCTTGGAAATATTCAGAAGCTGCCTGCACAGCTTCTGTTTGAGCAGGAAGCTTAGACCAGATGACTTCCTAACTTCAGCCAGTCTGTGGTTCTTTGATAAGATTCTCCTTGTGACTTTTATCTGTTCATTTATTTATTATTCATACTGTCCTCCGCTGAATTTTCTACAAGTTCCCACCTCTTGTTCTGGGGAGCCCAGAAGAGGACACATAACTCCAGAGGTGGCCTCACCAGTGCCTGGTAGAGAGGAAGGGTCGCCTTCCTTCTGATGCAGCCTGGGATTCTGCTGCTGGCCTCTGTCATGAAGGGTGCATTGATGGCCTAGGTCAGTTGTCCACCGCAATCCCCAGCCTCTCTCTGCAGTGCTGCTTTCAGGGATGTGATCTGAGGGATGCTGTTCAGATCAGTGGCCCACCTAGGCCCATGTTTTCCCCGTTTCCTCTACACAGACAGCAAACTTATAGCTGTTTACAGTGTTGCAGAATTACTTTTTGTTTGCCTTTCACATCCCTTGCTATATTTGGCTGACCTGAGAATGTAAATGAAAAATTAATTCAAAAGACACGCATCTCTAAGACTGGAGTTCAGGTTATTAATGTTCACATCTGTGCAAATAGGTGCTGATGATTCCACTGTTTGCATTTTTAAGGAGGCCAACTGTGAGCCAAACCCAGCAAGGCTTACTACCTTGAGTGCAGTATCAGGTTAATGTGGCCAGCCTGGACAAAGCCAAGGAATATTTTCTCAATCCAGGTATGCATGCCTGAAATTGTTGTGCCTGTAGCATGCAGATATGTGCTGAGGCCCATGCAGATGCCTAGATTCTGCTGCTTTTTCATTTTTCTAATAATTCATCTATTGGTTCTCTCGGATCCAGCCACATATTTTGCATTTCTGACTTTAAGAGGCTGTGGCCTAACTCTCAGTTGGAAGATCAGATCCATCTTCTTCAAGAGCTGGGGGTAGTTAGAAAGAGACATTCTTGCATTTGGACGTCTCTTTTCTGAAATGCACCATTGCCAAGACAGCAGGTTCATTTCCTCACTGGGGCATCGTGGGAGTGATGGTTGACAAAACTGTAAATATTTTATTATTCTTATAATGGATTCCAGACATTCCAGGTCTCCACGTGCGTGTCTCATGTTACTGCTTTGGTGAGCAGTTGCTGTTGTCAGAAGAAATCTCCCTAGCAGGAACTGTAAAGCTGTCCTGTTGTGGAGTTCCACGCCTCACGTCTTGCCCAGGGCCAGCTGAGAAACGAGCAAAGCACCAGGACTTGTTTCAGTGACTGCTGTGTTGCAGAACGTGAACAATCCTGGCATACTGACTGTGCTTCTGGAGGAGTTGCATCCCGTTGAGCTCTTTGCAGGAGCCTGTCTGAGTGTCTGAGGCCTGGCCTCTTGCTGCATGTCTTTTTGCTACACTAACTGCTGCTGGAATGTTTTATTCCATCACTAAGCTCATGCTATGCAGTGTGAGAAACCAGGGCATGTCTGCAAATCCATGTTCCCAAACAGAGCAGACTTATTACTTTTCATGTGTATTGCAAGTGACTGACTAACAGTCCTGGAGTCTACTGTGTAGGATGAAGGATGGGCTTATTTCTTTATTACTGGATAATTTATTTTATCCTTTTTTTGTTCTTTTTTGCTTCTTTCTCTATCAAAAGTCTTGGTTCATGCAACCTGTCAGTACTCAGGAGATAATAAGGAATGTCAATAAAGATCTGTGTGTGACTGCTCTACCTTGGAAACATTACTACTGAATCAGCAGACCCATGAGCTGCTTGGAGTACAAAGCAGGTTAGTATTCATATGCTCTTTTCTGCTATTGATGCAAGAGTGTGCATTGTCATGTTTTCTACTTCTGCAAAATCAGGTGACTGCTGCAGAAGAGTAATGCGCTGCTCCTCTCCGGTGTCAATATTTTCACACATTTAAATGGCAATCTAAGACCAGAGGTTTGCTTAGTAAGACAAGGGAGGTCAGGAACGAGTGGATCTGTGTAGCCAGCTTCAGGAGCCTGCTTCTAGTGAGGCAGAGACATCATATTAAAAGATTCCATTTGATGGAGATAGTTTTAATAATGTAAACTTGATCTTATAGCTAGTGTGAGTTTGCCTAGTTTCAGCTTGCAATACTGGAGCTTCTGTAATTGTACAAATTATTTTGCCACTTACAGGCATGGACAGTTCTGTGGCCTTTGTGTTCAGAGATGTCAAGTGTCACATGTGACCTCTTTTTATAGGACACTAGAATGATGATCCTGTGATTAAGGGACTTTGGGACTTCAGTTGGTCAAATCCTTTGCTCTTAGTATGTCTAACATCAAAAATCAGATCAGATTGCTATGAGCTTAATACAGTATTTTAACTTCTTCCCTGTGCGTTTTTTTCTGATTGAAATTGCTTATGGTGTGACTTGTGTCCTCTGCCTCATGTTCATCCTATGTGGACCTTGTAAGAGGTGTGTGACTCCGTCTTTAGCTACCTTATGGGTGGTTGTAGGGAGGACAGCAATTGTATCCTACTCCTCACCTGCTGTTCTCAGGGCTGAGCAGGCCCAACACTCTTATACTCTCCACACACACCTTGTAAAGCAAACCCCAGTCATCCTGGGGGCTCTTTGCTGTACTTGATTCACTGTTTTGCAAGTGGGCACTCTACTTCAAATGTAGTCTTATAGGTGTGAATAGAGAAGAATAATTGCTTTTCCCAACCTGCTGCCTGCAGTCCTGCCAGTACAGCTCACTACACGTGACCTTGGCTGTGAGCGCACTGGTGGCTTGCGCCAGGCTTGGCCATCAGCACTTGGAGCTTGTCTTCTGCAACACAGCTGTACAGCCAGTTGCTCCTCAGCCTGTGCCACTCATGCTTTTCCCATTCCAGGCATAGGCTTCTACTGAACTTCATGATGTTTCTATCCATCTGTTTCTCCAGCCTATTGTTATCCTCCTTGTCGGCAACTCTACACAAAGGCTCATTCGAATTCGGTGAATTTAGTGAGGTGGAGTGCACCCCATCATCTCAGTTAATAATGGAGAATTTAATTTACTGCTCTCCCCAAAATGACAAGTTATATGTTGCTGGCTGGTACTGCTGCATGTTTTTTGGTTCTTCACTTCCACTTGCTGGATTAGTTTGGCTCCTGAATTTCAAGGAAGGGAAAGAAGGTATGCTGAGCAGCACCCAGGGAATCTTATGTCCTCTCCAGGCTATTCCCCTGTGTTGAGGGTCCTGTATGTGACATGCAGAGGTCTCATAATCTCTCCAATGTGACACACTTATATCTCTTTAGCAAACATCAAGGCTCAGTCCATTATTTCCACTACTTATTAGCAGAAAGCTGATTTTGTTACAGGCCATGTTTGGCCTGTGGAGAAATGACTTCATTTAACAATCACCTTTCTTTTCAGTAAACTGAACAGATCATGGTTCTGTAATGTCATTGTTAAGAAAGATCAAGGATGAACTATGAGGATGACTTGGCATCTAGTATAAAAATATTTTTCATTCATTTGTGTGGTGCAGTGAA